GAAAGAAAGGAAGGAAAGAAGGAAGGAAGGAAGGTAGGAAGGTAGGAAGGTATTAAGGATGGAGGGATGGAAGGAAGGGAGGGAAGATGATGGTAGGAAGGATAGAAGGAAGGAATGAAGAGAGGTAAAAGAGGGAAAGATGGATGGAATGAAGGGAGATGAAATGACAGTCTGGAGGCAGGGAGCGAAGGAGAGATATACATGAGAAAAGGAAGAAAGAAGAGAAGAAAGAAAGGGAGAAGAGGAGGGATGATTTCTGGTACTAGCAATAGCTGCGCGGTTTAGTTACGAACCTTCGCACTGCGATATTCTTTGAACAAAACATCTGTTTTTGCTTATATTATCCTTTATCCAATTTCTCGTTTATACTATGCATATTCCTGTTTATATATTGAACAGCTGTAGACTGTGGTAGCTTGGATGCCCCTTTACATGGATCCAAAATCGGCAATCAATCCACCTTTACAAACAAGATACTATTCTCTTGTGACCCTGGCTACAAATTGGTTGGATCAGCTGTTAGATATTGTCCTTTTACTGGAGTATGGGACGGCGTTCAGCCTACATGTCAGGGTACAAATAGCGTTCAGATATTTTATTTAACGAGTGTAGACTAATTATCACACGCGTGAATCGTGGACGTCAATCAAAGCGTTTCCATGACGACCTTCCATAGAAACATGCTCTTGAAAACGTAAGCGAAAATGTCATGTAAACAATTCGGTTAACGTCCGTCAAAACCTACTTGTTCGAGACGTTTTTGAGAACGCAAAGAAAATCGTTACGTTCATTTCTATCATTATTCTCTTAATTATTATTTCTTTTCTTAGTTTTAATCATTTGTGTTTGTTTTTTAGCGTTGGACTGTGGTGTTCTTAAAGCTCCTATGAACGGATCAATTCAGGGCGATAAATGGACTTATCCAAACTCGGTCAGTTTTGACTGTGATAAGGGATTTGATTTGATTGGCTCCTCTGTGCGCACGTGTCAGACGAATGGAATCTGGGGGGGACAAACAGTTCGCTGTCAAGGTAATTATCACCTCTTATACATGCGTACTCCCTGCATGATAGCGATTCATTGATAGGGAAACACTGCCCGTCATGTGGTATCAACCAGAGAGTATTCTATTGCTTGGTATCAATCAGCTGAATGAATCTCATTACCAGCCTACAATGACAGCCAAACACTGCCCGTCATGTGCTATCAACCAGAGAGTATCCTATTGCTTGGTATGAATCACCTTATTACCAGCCTTCATTGATGGGCAAACACTACACACCCCCCCCCCCCCCTCCCCCCTCATCCACGTACTTTTTTATTAACTTTTTTAACACTTGCCATTCAGTTAGTAAAAATTTCACACAAGATCGGAAATAACGTATTGATAGCATCCCATTTTCTCTTAAAACAGCGGTTGACTGTGGAAAACTTGTAATACCACAAAACGGATCTCTGACCGGAAGTCAGACAACGTATCCAGCGACAATAAAATTCCAATGCGATGAAGGTTTCCTGTTGAAAGGTTCAAAGTACAGAAAATGTCAAGCTGATCGAACATGGAGTGGGAAGCTCACCTCTTGTGAAGGTAAGATAAGGGTCAACTGAATCTTGCTGTTCGCCTGGAGTCTGGGGAGTACTTGAGTATTGGTCACGTGGTTTATGGAAATATAAGCTTTTGCCACGCGATCGTTATGAAACCCTTGAGGGTTAACATTATCTCATTATAAAATGTGTTTTGATTGAATGATCTCTGACACATGCTGCAGTAACATACTATTTTCTAAATTAGCTGTTAGCTGTGGCAAACCAGCTTTTGTGGAGTATGGACGCCCTTTTGGTGGAGGAATGACGTACCCTAACGTTATCGTCTATAAGTGCGAAGAAGGGTACCTGCTGAATGGACCAAAAACTAGACAATGTCAGGCTAATGGAACATGGAGTGGAAGAGATCCAACATGTGATGGTGGGTGAATACACTCTAGACAGACAGACGGAATGACAAGGACGGACACCTTGAAACAAGACTGAATGACAGCAAGAGACAGATTGGAAAAACAGAATGAAGAACGATGACAGACATAACATGACATACATACATACATACATACAGACAGACAGACAGACACACGGAATGAGAAGGACAGATAGTGAAACAATAAATGACAGCAAGAGACAGATTGGAAAAACAGAATGAAGAACAATCAATTGATAAGATTTTCGTCTATTCTCAGCCATCAGCTGTGGTGTCCTAAATGCTCCAATAAATAGTTCCAAGATCGGTAACGTCTACACGTATCCTAACGATGTCACATTTTCCTGTGATCAAGGCTTTGATTTGATTGGCTCAAAAAGCCGCGTGTGTCTGTCAGACGGTTCCTGGAGTGGAGAAGACACTTTCTGTAAAGGTACTAGTAAATGCTTTAGCATTTTTGACCTACGGCATTTGTCATATTATGAAATCTTCATTACAATGCTTTTCTTAATTTTGAGAAATTTTATTGGATTCCTGCCTTTATAAATGGAATTAAAACTGCTTAGAATAACTAAGATTGACGTCTGAATTTTTGACTGACGGATGGCAAAAACCCAGGCCTCTTAGATTGTGTCACGTGCCCGTGAGGACCTGGGACCGACACTAACGACGGCTGTAGAGAAGATTAGGACTGTGTTGGTCATGGCTTTGTTGTGGATGCTATGTTGATGATGAACGTGAATCAGGTTATTTTGTTGCTTTAGTGGTGGTGGTACGTGGTAAATGGTATTATAAGTTGTGATGGTATTAATTGAGTTATGGCGAGTTGTCTCCATCGATCTGTCCATCCATCCATCCATTTATTTAAATGCAATTATATTGACTATTATTATTATTAGGGTATTGAAAATACCAAACCCTTGCCTTCTCTTTCTAACATTTTATTTCTCTATTTATACATCTTTTCATTCTCCCATCATCTTCATTTCCCTTCCATTTCTTTCATTAGATAATTCATACCATGTTTTTTCTGATCTTTTTCTTATGCTTCAGTACCTTTTTCTTTTACTTTATTTCTTTTGACCTTCATTTCTCTTTTCCTTTCCATTCTTCCTTACATTAATAACCATGCTTACAGCGATTAAAATTCTTGGCTTTACTAATTAGTTTAGTAGACAATGCCATCATTAATATATTTGGATATCATCAATCCATTTATCACGAGCAAGTTGTAGTTTATTTACAAGAATTTGGTCTGGAAGTTCTTTCTGCATGCCGGACAAGGTAAATAGTCATTACAGAACAGTAACAATAATCAAGGCGTCTCCTCTTAAGACAACTTCCAAGGTGAGAAAGATATCACTTGATCAACTATCGCCATATTGGATCACGTGATCAATCCCCTCCATACTTGAATCACGTGATGGATACCAGGTGGTGCATATATAAGTTGAAAGGGTTTTCACTCACACTTTTGGCTGCATTGCCTTGCGACACAATTGTTTCAACGTTTCTGTAACGTAAAGGATCAAGTGATCTCTTATTTTCCCCATTGCCTTTACGAGATGGCACAAATAGTCCCTTTCACAGTACCTGCGACATCTTGAAAGATAGCCTTGCCTTTGCATCCAAGCGAGACGAAAGGTGAGCTTGCAATGATAGAGACATGTGAATAATTGTTCACCGTTCGTCTCGCTTGGATGCAGAGGCACGGCTACCTTCAAGATGGCGCAGGGAACTGTGAAGGGGACTATAGACGCTTTRCACCATCACGTGATGGCAACCATGACAGGGGGCAGGAACAATTGATTCTGGTCTAATCTGATTTATATTAGGAAGGATTCCCTTTCCCAGGGAAAAAGACTCTATTGTTATACCCCCTGTCATGACTGCCATCACGTGATGGTGCAAAGCCTCTATACAAAATCTTGCGGAAATGATGACACAACTCATCCAAGTTGACTTGCGAGGAGAACGAATACAATTCCTATTCTTAATCCACCGTGTTATTTTTCACAAAGACAGTAAATTAATTGAACGACTGATTTTGCATGAGCATCGTAAGCACACTAACTACTCGACCTATTTAACTAAATACACATCTTGTTTCTTCAATAACCAATCACGCTGCATAATGAACGTTTCTATTAAGCACGTAATAACGTCAAAACTGTTAAATATAAGAGAATAGACCGCAGTGATATAAATCAAATGCACTGTAAAAATACGCTGTCCATAAGAAGTCACCTTGCACGAGATGACGTCATAAAATAACCACTTGACGTAAAGCTTTAAATTTTGGGTTGAAGGGATAGGATCAAAGGTTTGTTTGTTTGTTTTCCAGCGGTTGACTGTGGTCCTCTTGCTGTTCCTATGAATGGTTCATTGAAGGGCTCCTTGACAACCTTCCCTACTGTCGTCATGTTTGACTGTGATAGGGGATTCAGGATGAAAGGATCTACATCAAGAAGATGCCAAGCCAATAGAAGATGGAGTGGCAGTCTCTCGACTTGTGAAGGTCAGTTTCCTCATTACTCAACGACTTCCCCACTGATCTGACTGAATAGTGACGTAGAAATGACGTCACTGAACAACTGAGGTGTGGCGAGCCTGCGAACATGCTCGCCATTGCGATAATAATATAAAAATTATTAATTATTGTGTCAGTTTATCAAACCTTATTGGCAATATTATATTTTTTTCATTTGGGGCCTGGGAATCCATTATATCAAGTAATAAAGTGACCCAGTTTTGCAAATGTTCTCGATTCTGATTGGCTAATATTTTTTCTCAGATCAGTTGTTTCGCCACCCCAGTTCTTATTTAAGGTGTGGTCATATTGTGCTTTTTTTTCAGCTGTGGACTGCGGTCCTCTAAAACGACCAATGAACGGGTTCATCCTTGGCTCAGCTACAGTTTTCCCCAACAAAATATCATTCTCCTGTGATGTTGGATTTCTGTTGAGAGGATCACAGCAGAGGGAGTGTCAGGCAAATGGAAAGTGGAGTGGCAAGGCCACAAGGTGTGAAGGTGTGGTGACTTTAAGTGTATTTAGAGCAGTTTTCGTACGACTATGAAAAGCTTGCGGCACAAATACGGTCGTGACGCGGCCAGGCATACGTTAGACCAATCAAATTGCGCGAGAATCCACCCAATCAAATGCCCGTAACACGGCACGAAAATGGTCACGCCAATGTCAAGGCACCTACAAACCAATCACGTTGCACAAGAAAACGATAAGCCAATTAAAATGCTGGAAAACATCACGGTCACGGCACGCATACGGCACTGAGCTTTTCACATTCATAGGAAAACTGCTCTTCATTTGCGTTCCTTTAGCCTTGAATACACATTTATATTGGTTCAGTAGTTTTCATCCCAATTTATAAACTAACTTTGTTCATGAATTTTGTTGCAACTACCACGATGCATTATGTTCTTTTAGCTTTGAATGCTTATTTAACTTGTTATAGTGTTATGAAGCAAGATTGTCAACAATATTTATCATTCTTATAGCCACAACTTAAACCAACACTATCTGTTTTAATCAAAACCTAGCCCCACGTAGTGACCTTATCTAGCCACAAAATGTAAATAGGAAATGAGATTTAGATATATATATATATAGACGAACCTAGACAGTTCTTACACACACTGAATCGACTTAACTTTGGAGTTAGAAGGCCGAGTCTAAGGCTGTAGCTGTATTTGAACTGGAAAGCATGGACCTAAGTTAGGACGAATGGCCTAGTAAGGAAATCCTTCTAAAACCACACCTACTAAGGGAACGTCTTTCTAGTCAGCTACAGTGCACCTTACGCTCGTAGCAAACCTCTCGTATTTGTTAACTAGTCTCCTTAAGGACAAGTCGAATAAAGAGTTGTACTCCAGACGATCCCGGAGCTATTTCAGCCCAATTCTAACAATAGTAGTTAAAAGAGGAGATAGGTCCTTATAATGCCAACATAGGGAAGCATGGGTGGCGTAGCGGTGAAAGCGCTCGCTTCTCACCAATGCGACCCGGGTTCGATCCTCGGACTCGTCGTATGTGAGTAGAGTTTGTTGGTTCTCTCCTGTGCTTCGAGGGTTTTTCTCCGGTTTTATTCCCTCCGCAAACATCAACTTCTAAATTCTTATTCGATCTAGAAGGGCCTGGATGAAAATTACTCTGTATTATTCTAGTTATCCTACCAAATTGTGTAGTTTTTATGTACTATGCAACTACCAAGTAATATTGATATATGGGAGTACTTTTGAGTAACAGTTTCTGCGTGATCAGGATTGAATTAGTGTGCTCTAGTACCCCGGCCCAATTTACTAACTGAGTAGGGGTGCTGAAGTAGGATAGGGGTGTCATGTAATTAGACAAGAAAACATGACAAGAAAGACCAACGAAGGGAATTGGCACTTTGACTGCACTGTTTAGGTGGAAGGAGAACGTTTTCAGGTGAATCTGAGAATGTGAAAGTATATCATGTTTTCCTTTTTATTTGGAAAGCTGTCGACTGTGGGTATCTTCCTGCACCGAGGAACGGATCGAAAAGAGGAGATTTAACGTACTTCCCGAACAGAGTGATTTTCTACTGCGACAAGGGGTTCAAGTTAATAGGATCAAAAATAAGAACTTGCTTGGGGAATGGAAACTGGAGTGGAAGGACCACGTACTGTGAAGGTAACATCCATCCGTCCGTCCGTCCGTCCGTCCGTCCGTCCGTCCGTCAATCCATCCATCCATCCATCCATCCATCCATCCAC